TTCTCCAGTTGTTGTTGTTTCTTTTTTTTTTTTTTTTTTTTTTTTCCTTTTTTTTTTTCTTTTTTTCGAGACAGGGTTTCTCTGTGTAGCCCTGGCTGTCCTGGAACTCACTCTGTAGACCAGGCTGGCCTCGAACTCAGAAATCCGCCTGCCTCTGCCTCCCAAGTGCTGGGATTAAAGGCGTGCGCCACCACCGCCCGGCTTGTTGTTGTTTCTTAATGTCAAAGTCCCGAGCTTTGGAAGGTGTCCAGGGGCAAATTCAAAAGTGTGCAGCATCTATTCTGATCTCATACCCACAAAACCAGCCATCTTCCTGTCTCGGCAACAAGTGCTGTACAGAGAGTGAACTGGAGGTGTCTCCTGCCCTTTGCTGAATGCAGCCATTTTCAACAAGAGAATATTGGCTGTAAACTGGTTTATATATACACACACACACACACACACACACAACTCTACTTAGCAGAAGAATTGTCCTTAGAAAGCTGTTTATCTTGAACAAAACACTAACCCCATTCTGCCAATTTCTTTCTTAGTATCGACTTTTGAAGCAGTTTACCGATTGCGCAGGGAAATTAGAGTCATCATTTCAGCTTCATAGAAATCATTTTATTGCTCCAAACTTTGCATCTATTGAGCTCTGGCCATGTTCCCCCACTCTGCTATCTGGGATGGAGGAAGCTCAGGTGAGAGCCTGAGAGCCAGGCAGGAAGTGATGAAGGTGCCCATCTGGCCCAAGAAATTCTTGGGATAATAATTGAGGCCATAACGATAACCTTATATTAATTCACAGAAGCTTGCCCGTAACCCAGTGTGGTATAATGAGTATGGCTTGACGCTGGGAGGGGCTAGCTTTTTTGTTTGGTTTTGTTTTTAATCGACCTGCACTCCATGGAAAGATGGAGAATATGGAATGTAACGAGGGATGATTTCTGTTTTATGAATACCCTGCCCCCTTCTTATCCCTTGTTTTGTGTTTTGTGGTTTCCATTACCTGTGGTCAACAACAGTCCAAAAACACTAACTGGAAAGTTGCAGAAGTAAATAGTTCACAGGTTTTTAGTTGCTCACCAGAATGAGAAGCCTGGCGAAGTGTGCTGTCCCACCCAGGATTCGAATCAACGCCACATCCAGAGAATCCACTGTGCATACACTACCCACATATAAGTCTTAGGAGCCTGCTGGTGGTTCAGACAGTCCTTCTGTCTCAGTCCATTTGTATGAATACAATAGAATACTGGAAGCTGGACAGTTTATATATAAAGGAAAGTTTAGTTGCTATTCTGAAGGCTAAAAATCCTGGGCCAGGACTGGTGAGGACCTTGTATTATGACAGTAGAATGTAGAAGGGCAGAAATTGTCTACGGAGGAAGGAAAGCGTGAAGGATGGAATGGGGGTCTAATTACCTGCTTTGCTAGATGGGCTTCCTACCACAAACAACACAGTCTTCACCCTGACCTGTTGAAGGCCCCATTCTACTCCAATACTGCCACAAAAGCAACGGAATTTCATGTCAGTCTTAGGGAAAACCATATAAAGACAGTAGAGCTTTCCAAACTGATTTCCCCATCTGTAAAATGGGACCTTGCTCTGTAATTAAAGACGCGGCATTTTGCTAAGGAAAAGAACACTGCCTTTTTAGTCGGAGGCCTCTAATCTCACCCTGCCTTAGGAGCTCCGGCAAATTGCGTTCACCTTTATTCATTTGCTTGGAAAGTGAAGTGTTGACCTCACAGGTTACTGATGAAGAGTAACAGATAATATTTCCGTATCACAAACTTCAAAGGGTGTATCTTAGCATGTACTTGGTGGCTACCATTAGGTGTGGAACATAGAGAATTTCACCTTTTACTTTTGCCCAACCAGATTCAGGAGAGAGGTGGTAAATGTTTAACAAGAGGCCCTCCAAAAGCAAAGGTCTGGATCATACTGTTTGCCTATTTTTGTGATGTAAATTTATTTTCTTGGGGCTGATTTCAAACTACCTCAGTAACAGCTCTGAGCATGGAGCTAGGCAGACATGCATGTTCTTAAACACGGGTACAAGCCCACATCGATAGGACACTGTTTTGTTTTGGTTTTCACTCAATGTTTTGCTTAAGGGATAAACTAAGCGAGAGAATACTGAGTAGCTAGCATTATGCCCTGCACACAGCACATTACTTTTCTGTCCTGTCTTCTCTCCTTCATCTTTGACCCTTATTACTTTAATCAAACAGCACGTTTACCTTGAATACCAGTTAGCTATGTGAAGTAAGTGTGTGTGTGTGCGCGTGTGCGTGTGTGTGTGTGTGCGCGCACACGTGTATCTTCTAGAATCCGAGTACCTTATTCTGGATCTGCTAGGAGGTCTCCTGCATCCCAGATCCTGTGCAGCCTGAAGAGGAGCCCTAAGGTTAACTTTACTGAAGCATAAGCAGGTAGACCAGTAGGCCCTTCCCCTCTTCACAGGAGACATGCTCAAAGCAGAGCACTCCAAAGCTGAAAGAGTTGCAAGGGAATGCAGGAACATTCCCTATTGATAAAGGGCCTGGGGTGAGCACTAAGGAGGCCATGACCTGTAACCAGCCTAATCATTACCTTTGACAGTGACCCAGCAGGTAGGAGTGTGTGTGTGTGTGTGTGTGTGTGTAGGAGTGAGGAGACGGAAGTGGGCTGTACAGATCTCTGAGAATATTGAAGAATGGAGCATTGAATGTTGATCGTGAGGCATAACACCAGGCTCTCAGGGACACACTCCACACACCTTGTGTGGTCTGGTTGCCACCTTCCAGCGACTGGCACAGCTGCCAACTCAAGAGGCATTTGAGACATTTTTGGTAATGCTTAGTCCAGATCAGCTTTAATTTTTTGTGTGTGTTTTGGTTAATAAAATCCTGTCTGTTAACCTTTAAAAGCATGCACCAGGTAGGAAATGCTATTGAAAAAGAGGCAGTATGCTAGTGAAGATTACCAATAACTTGTTTCTGGTTTTCAAGACAGGGTTTCTCTGTGTAGCCCTGGCTGTCCTGGAATTCACTCTGTAGACCAGACTGGCCTTATACTCCCTAGAGATTCACTTCAGCTGGGATCTCCAGTCCCTGCTGGGATCTCCAGTCCCGCTGTAGGAATGAGTCTCTTGGCCTCCTCCATGGAAGTGAAAGGTTTTGCTGCCTAACCTGGGCTAACAGTGCTGCCTCCACGGCTGTTGAAGCAACAGGACTGCCCAGGAAAGACATGCAGTGCACAGATTTGCTGAAAGGCAGTCTTTGGGTTGCTTATCCATTGGGTGGTTAGCTGCCTATAACACGAGGAGCTCAGCTCATCCTTCAGGCTGAGCTAGAATTTGGGGAAGCTCTCACATGTTTGCAGGGGCAGTTCAGTAAAGACACAGGATGAATCTGGTAAATAGACTGCCCAGTGAGAGAGGCATAGGAGAGGCATGCTCATGCTTGTATTGCCAGGGCCCAAGTGACATACCTGGGGTCAGTCAGTGAAGAGTTAGACGGTGGAATCCTCCCCGGGCCCTCCTACATCTGAATGGTACACGAGATGTGACCCTAGGTTTCCTTGGAACTGGCCTTTATTTGCTTGACAGCTTTATGGAGATGTAATTTGAATACCATACAAATCCCCCATTTAAAGTGTGTAAATCCACGGTTTCGGTGTCTTGCAAGTGTTTCCACTACCAGTCTTAGGAAATTTCCATTGTCCCCAGTTAGCCCTCCACCTCCCACAAGCCCAAGGCAAGCACTTACTTGTCTGTGTAAATTTGCCCACTCTGGACATTTCACATAAATGGAAGCATACAGAACATGACATTCTGCATCTGCTTCTTTTCCCTTTGGTGTTTTCAGGGTTCGCCCATGTTGTAGTGTGTAACATACCTCATTCCTGTTTATAGATGGACAGTATTCTGTCTTTTGTTTATCCATTCATTGGTTGATGAACATTTGGGTTTTTACTTACTGCCTATCATGAAAAACATTGGTGTGAGCAGTCATGTACAAAATTGTGGGTAGACAAAGCCATTCATATCTCAGGTGAATGCCCCGTCGCAGATTTGGTTTTCACAGTAGCTGTCTGATTGATTGTTTTACATCTCTCTTCAAAACACCCAGGAGCTTCCTTTTGCCCTTAAGGTCAAGCTGAGCATCCTTACGTTGGTCTACATAGCTATAGCTTCTGGCTCCTAGCCACCTCCATGTTCTATCCCAACCAAAAGAACAAGAGTTGACTCCGAGCTGCAGAGCCTCCTTTCTTGGCTTAAATTTTGAACCACTCTCTATTTGCTGGAGGGGTTTGTCTAATCCCTCACACTAAGGCTTCAGGTGACCCACCTGCCTCCTCAGACTAAGTTAGGCTTCCCTCCTAAGCTTTCTTAGGACACCATATGAATTGTTCTTAACAATCATTGTACCAGCACACTAGTGACACCCAGCATGGCTATCTGACTCATGCCCCATCTTTCTGCCACCATAAGCTGGAGGAACAGCGTCCTCATTCTTCTTCCCCTGGCTCCTAACACAGTACCTGCCGTAATCAGGTACTCTATTTACCAGATGAACAGTAGCAAACTCAAGTATTGATGGTGGTGAGCAGGCTGCTCATTCAGAAGACCCTGTCACCCATGGTGTGTCTCTCAGCTGAGGCCAAAGTGATTTCTCTTTCTACCCCAGCCCTATTCTTCCCTCTCTGCTCTCCTGGGGGAAACCCCACAGTCCTGCAATAAAGGCCAAACTGTGGCTTTGTCTCTGTCATTCCCCTCGTCTGTGACTCAGGAGGAACCCCGCTGACCAGGTTGGTAACTGTCACATCCTTGGCTTCCAGGAGTAAAATAGAGAGGGATTTCTGAAGGCCTTTGCTTCTCCGCAAGTTGGGTAGCAATGTGGTGACAAACTGTGTTCCCTGTAGTAAAGATGATTGACTTCCTATGTGTGTCTCTTAAAAATCTTTCCTTGGAAGAAATCCCAAGAGGAATCTGTTCTCCCCTCTGAGACTTACTTGCTTCTTCCCCTTGCAGATATGCACCTATTTGGCCATTATCCAGCGCATGACGACTTCTATCTGGTCGTGTGCAGTGCCTGCAATCAGGTCGTCAAGCCACAGGTCTTCCAGTCGCACTGCGGTAAGTGGACTCCTGCACCTGGTGGATGCATGGGCAGCCAATGACCCTGGGCTCCCAGCTGGGTGGCCTTGTGTCTGTTTCAGTCCAAGGCTTGTGGGTACACTGGCCCGGGGCTGCTGCCTCTGCACACAGAGGACCTGGTAGGAGCTCAGTCCTCCCGCTCGTAGGCTCCTTCCTGTCAGAGCAAACAGGAGAAAGCCTGTAGCATGCCTTGGTAGATTGGATTAATCGGAAACCGTGCACATTGGTGCCTCTGCAGGTAGCCAAGAGGGGAGAACAGTGGCGTGAGGAATCTCTGACTCCTCCTGCAACTTGTCATTTTCTCCCCCTGAAAGATGCTCACGGAGAAGACTCCCCAGATTTGCACACACAAGGGAGGGCTGGAGCCACAGGTGGCACAGTGTACCTGGTATTGGTGCTACTTCCAGGATGTAGGTGAAACCTCCTGTTCTGCTTCTCCTTTCAAGACACCACCCCCTTTTAAAGTGTGCTTAAAAACTCATTTTTTCCCCCCGAGTATCTTAAAATCCTGGCTGTGAGTCTGCAAGCAATTCCTTGACTCCAGCAGCAGCAAACTGTGTACACCACTCAGTACAGGTGGAAATGGGGACAGATAAAAGCTATGTGGCACTGCTAAACAGCTCTCTGACCTTAGACAAGAAGCCATTTAATCTCTCTAGGTGGCTGTTTCCTTATCTTTACCAAGAGTTAGACCAGATGAATCCCACGGCTGTCACATGCTGTGAGTCCAGGACCGTGTTTTCTAGTCTTATTTAACCATGACATCTCGGGATGAACCGGATCTGGATGCCCCTCTGCCGCCATTTCCATAACATAGTCCACATTACCCTTGAACAAAAGGAGCAATTACAATGTTGAGTGTGCGTTTGTAAATGACACGTT